ATAGGGACCAAAGGAAAGAGCATTTGGATAGCATGATCACTACTGTGAATAAACTCACAGATGCTCTACTGAGAATTGCTAATAAGTTCTAGGAGAAAATGCAACAGCAGAGATCCTAACAAAACTCCCACCAGTGTAGCTGAGCATATGGGAAATGTCTGATAGACACCACAATTGATCTCAGTCATGCTTTTACTTTCTTTGTCAAATCTGTGATCAACAAGAAGCTTCAGTATGTACAAAGATCCCACTCCAATCTTTTCCTCCCATCTGGTTCACAATTGCAATGAGGTAGGTAACAGAAAGGGGTACATTTGTCAAATAAGAGAAATCTGTACGGTTTAGCAATTTGATATTTAAATTACATAATTTCATTTGCAAGACTTATTATCTTGTCACATATTAGTTCACTCCGTATCAAAATCTATATCAAGTGATATTCTGCTCTTAAAAGATTCTTTTGACAGGTACTTGAATGTTTGAAAATCTGAACGCTAAGAGTAATAGAGCTCAATCTATTGCCAAAGAAAACTTGTAAGGTAACAAGTTAATCAAATTGAAATTTCGGATAAAAAATCGAGCAAAATCTTCCAATTGGCTCAAAAGTTAGGTACTAAGAGGGACATCTAATATACATTACAGATACATAGATACGTGTACATAATGATGAGATACAACAAAAATTAGGGCTCTACAAAAAACTTGCACCACTTTCACAACCATTTATAGCAACGGAAAAAGTGGAATAAGGTAAAAATCCAAATCTAACCTTTCTTCCCTCTATGCAGGGACAGCCTCAACAAGCCTTGCAAAGTAGAACTGTGTAGTAATTAAGCCCCTCTTATTTATTTTCCACCCAGCCTTTTGTAGTGCTCTCTCCACATCTGCCTCTGCGTGGAGATATGCTCTTGTTGCCTTTGAAGGCCCGGGAAACAACTCTCCCACTCTCTTCAACAAATCATAGTAAAATGTCTTTGGTGCAAAGCTTAGAATAAGGCGTTTTTCAGCCAATGAAGCCAGGTGGCCAATCATCCCATCTGCTTTATTCTGGGGATAATGTATCAAGACATCTAAGCAGACTACCGTGTCATACTTTCCATCTAAACTCTCCAGATCCTTCACTTCAAATTTAGGCAGCACGGGTGTTTCACCTTCATTCCCTGCTGATAGTTGCTCTTCTGCCTGCACAATAATAAGATTTAATCGCACCCAGTGGATGAAAATAAAGCTGTAACTGCATTGTTCAGATTTTACATGAATACATGGATCACAAATCAAATATAAAACATAGAATGCCCAAATGCAAATTGTTTTTACATTTATCGTAAAACATAGCTTCCATTATTATAAAAAAAAAAAAAAAAAAAAAAAATCATTCCAAACGAGAGCTGAAGCTGAAACTTTATACTCTTTCGCGGGTTGCAATACAATATCCAATGCTAGTAGCAGTGTAGCACTACCGTCCAGGTCCAATAATGTTAACGAGTCAATTGAAGTTAGAATAGTATTATTATCAATTATGTCATTTAAATGATGTTGCACAAAATGTATTACCATTTACAAGTCACCAAAATAGTATTTACCAAAATAAATACGACCGAGATTGTGATACGGTGACTACGCGAGATATCAATTCACTATTACTCAACAATACATAAGCACATTTCCAGCAAACCGAAACCAAAGCATCATAAAATTCAAAAACGACCAGTCGTCTCACCTGTTTCTTAGCTTCAGCGACCATAGCCGCCGAAATGTCGCTAGCCGAAACAATCGCCCCTTCTTTGGCCAACGGAATCGACAGACTCCCGGTCCCACACCCGGCATCACAAACTGTTACTCCTCTTAAAGACCCTTCTTCAGTCAACATATTCATCACATTTTCAACGGTCTTCGCGTGACCCAGACGAATATCACGCTGAACTGTGTTCACATCATCAGTCTCACCGTAAATCTTCTTCCATCTTTGGAAACCTGAATTATTGAAGTACTCTCTCACAACGTCTTTATCTCCGCCACCGACTTCCTCGGCCTGGAGTCGGCGCCGGCGCTCTGGGTCCGCGAGGGAAAGCAAGGCGGCCAGTGCAGCAATGGAGCCGCCGCTTATAACGGCGAGAGTGGAAAAGTCTGGGACGGAGGTGGTGGTGGCGGTGGAGAGAGGGGGGATGGCGGCTGGTGGTGGTAGCATCGTTTTGATTGGTTTGTTTCGTTTTGGAGAGAGTATAGTAGTATTAGTGTGGAAGGGAATATGAGAGGATAGAGAAGCTGAAAAAGCCATTTTATATTATAGATTGAAGTTTTTCAAAATATGGATTGTTTTGTGTCCGGCCGGTGGGGAGAGGGGAAGAAATGGCGGTTACGTGGCGGGGAGAGAGTAGTCCTGTTAGTGGTGACGATGATATTGGTTGGTTGGAGATAAGATAAGAGTTGGAGATGATGGCCCGTGGGCGTTCGATTTCCGTGGGCCCCCCTTTGTTTTTGGGGACTGTTTGTTCTGGTCCATCACTGCGACGCTGCCATACGTTAATGTTTTGGACCTCACTACTACTCACAGATTTAAAATATAGGCCGGCACGTTTGTTTTATTATCTTTGATAGAATTTTAAAAAACAGTTGAGTTGGGTACTTATTAAGTAGAATTTAAAAATTTACAAAAATATTTTTAAAAGTTTGTTAATTTAGCTAAATATGCTTATAATAAAATATTAAAAATTAACAAAAACACTATCATCTATCCATTAAATGTCGATAGTGGGCTACCACCATCGAAGGGTGGTCGACAGTCTCTATAATGATGTACGATCGACTGGATCTGGCAGGTCGTGTGTTGATATGACATTTTTCAATCAGATTTGGCCACGTTTGGTAACGATGACAAAAAATATGACCGTCATTGATGACCAACTTCGGCCAAAGATTTGACTGTTAACGACCAGATCTTTAGCCATAAATCTTGCTGAAAAATGATAGATTGACGCACTACTGGCTAGATCCAATCGGTAGTGCGTCATTACACCATATTATGGCTACTTTTTAGCGATGGTGGCCTGAATCTGATAAATGTGGGTGGATGGATGTGTTTTTGGTTAATTTCTAAACTTTTATTTTATTTTATTTTTAGTTAAATTATCAAACCTATGTGATTTAAAAATAATTGAATAAAATAGAATAAGAAAACAAATATATGTTTTGGGTAAGATAGAGATACGATAGTTTAGAAATAACAAAACACACGCAACTAAAGTTTCTTTAAACACAATGATACATATATATATATGAATAATACTTTGGGTACTAACGGATGGGTACTAATCTGTGTACTAACTAAAGCATAGTATCCATACTATACGCATAGTACCCGTACTATGTTTTAGTTAGTACACAGATTAGTACCCATCCGTTAGTACCCATAGCATCACTCTATATATATATATATATTTTTTTTTCTCTTCTAATAATGGAAATTAATCAAAGTAATATTGTACTATAACTATGTTTTTAATTTAAGATTGGAGTAAAACAAATCATATATGAACAAAAGGAGCAGTTAATTACGAATATATATCAATGACCTTGAAGATAAATAAGTAGGGTTGTGCTGATATATGACCTATTTAAGTTTTTTATGTTTCCACGGATTGGGGCAAGTTTGTCTCATTTATCATCCATACTTGAATTGTTTAGTACTTCAATTTTTGTGAATGATGCTACCTAAACTTTAGTTGATAGATTATAAAAAGGTTTAGTTGAAAGATGACTTATCTTAACGCGGAAAAAAAAAAAAAAATCACTTTTGAAAGATACATTTGAACCTCTATGGTTTTTCAAAAAGTGACATTTAACTCAGGTTACTGTTATGTTAAATTTTTAATGGGAATATTTTTTCTATTCTTATGGTAAAAAGAGAAACTAAAACTTTATTACTGTTTACCATACAACTGGGAATAAGCTAAATGAAATTTGACCATAAGGACTCAATTTACATTAAAATATGGTAGTTACCTAACTAATAATAGCAGTATTTAATATACAACGTCAAATTTATCCTAAATGTTTTACATAGACATTGGATTTTTATTTATTTTTTAATTCCAAAAAAAGGCCCTAGAATTTAGTGGCATAACTAATGAATTTACATTAAAGGAAGAACATTCCATTTCCATATCCACAATCACACTGAAATTATTACCTCATAATAACCACCACATCCAAAATCTCCCTCCATCACCACCATCTATAACCAGAACATGTGCTTTGAATGTGTCATAATAACACCATACGAACTACCGTACTCAATTTATTAAATCCAGCCTGTTAAATTTCCCAGGGGGAGTTATGTTTCACTTTTTTAAACTATGACGGTGAAAGGTTGTTTTCACAAACCAAAGGGAGTGCAGAAATTTTAAATATACCCCTAAAAGAAAGAAAGAATGATTGGTTCGTCTTCACCAATCACCATATCACAAGAACAGCCTAACGTGCTTTAATAATAATATATAGATTCTTTATCATTATAAGCGTCAATACATGCAGTCAATCACAAAAAATCAGATTTGGTTCTTCTAAAATCTTATTTTATTGATTAAAAACGTGACATTATAATAGCATATTTTAATATAACAGCTGAAGATAATTATAATAGCATATTTCGATACGGAATAATATTAAAAAAAAAAAAAATAATCCGACAAACGAGTCTTGAAGGCCAAACCGAATCGTAGAAAATCCTAATAAGATAATGCGAATATAAACTAAACGTATACGAATCGATTCGGTAATAGCAACTAATAAATGATTGGTCAGCATGATATGGGGCATATTAACTGTAACAAATTCTTAAATGTTCACGGGACTTGCTATTTTCACTGAGTCTGAGCTGGAATTTTGGATTGACATGACTATTCACTCACTTTTCTACTACTAGATAAAGCTTAGAGATCAAGACTTGTTTATCTCATATACAGACACTCCATCTTGCTTCATGTGCTCGATAATATACATTATGTTCTGCTGACTGTTACCAAACAAGCAGTACAAGACAAAGAAACAAAAAATCATACTTGGAATTTTCGCTTCATCATATCCAAGAGAAAAAAGATCTGTAACTTATATCTTCTTTATATTTAAACTCTCCAAAGTTGCTACTTGTTTGAAGTAACTGTTGGCAACCGGCATTAATGGCAACTCAGTTTCGTTTGATATTGCTCTTTTTGTTTGGCATTTGTTGTGTGGAGTCGAAGTATATAAAATATAATACTACGGCTGGGATTGTTCCGGGGAAGATCAATGTTCATTTGGTGGCTCACTCACATGATGATGTCGGTTGGTTGAAAACTGTGGATCAGTACTATGTTGGATCTAATAATAGCATCCAGGTTAGATACTTTATATGTTAAAAAAGGTTAAGGTTTCTGTTTTTGATTTAAAGTTTGAGATTTATTTATTAATTTCGTTGTTGATTGCAGGGTGCTTGTGTGCAGAATGTGCTTGATTCCATAGTTCCGGCATTGTTGGCTGATAAGAATCGCAAGTTCATATATGTTGAACAGGCAGGGCTTATGCTCTTTTTCTTTTCTTGTGTTTTTGTTTGGTAGTTGAGAAAATGTTGAAACAGAGATGAAACTGAACTTTGCGTCAGTAGCAATTAAAAAAAAAAAAAAAACTTTAATTTCTCTTACTTTGCTTTTGCTCAGTCTTTTACGGTAAAGAATAAAAAAAAAGCATTGAAAATGAGTACTAGTGAAAAGAGTTTAGGTCTGTTTTCGTTATTCGTTCTGCTCCTATTTTTTGAATTGTAATTTTTTTTTTTTCCCTATAATACAGGCATTCTTTCAGAGGTGGTGGACAGACCAGAGCGAGGAAGTCCAAGATACCATGAAGCAGCTCATCAAGTCAGGTCAACTCGAGTTAATGTAATGAAAGAAACAGTTCAACTTTCTTTTTGTTAATTTTCTAACATTATCTCTGAAACTAGGATCAATCCTTCAAATGAAAGAAATATTTTTTTAGCATTTTTTTATTTAGGATGTGAGTTATACATACTTTGGGTGCAGAAATGGGGGTATGTGCATGCATGATGAAGCGGCGCCACATTACATTGATATGATTGATCAAACAACTCTTGGACATCGATTTATCAAAGAAGAATTCAATTTGACTCCAAGAATTGGTTGGCAAATTGATCCCTTTGGTCATTCTGCAGTGCAGGCTTACTTGTTGAGTGCAGAGGTAGTACCTCTTTACCCTGCTGTTGTAAATATGGTCACTGATAATTTCTGTGAAAATGCTTTTCCATCATGATGGCCAAAACAATTTAAAATCATACAAGTCCCCTTCACCCTCCTTTATGCACTGTTCATCAATTTGTTGAACAAAGGCCTTCTTGTTGGTTGTGTAGGTTGGATTTGATTCACTTTTCTTCGCAAGAATTGACTATCAAGACAGAGCTAAAAGGAAAGATGAGAAGTCTCTTGAGGTTGTCTGGCGTGCCTCTAAGAGTCTTGGTTCTTCTGCACAGGTAACTTTATCTCTCTTTGATTGTAAGCGCGCTGTGGTTTGATTTAATGCTTCAAATGATGTTTCTGTTGTCTCATTGTTGTAAAATTAGTAGTGCATTTGCTGATTGAATTGTTCCTTTTTAGATATTTGCTGGTGCATTCCCTGAGAATTATGAACCTCCCAGTAATTTCTACTACGAAGTTAATGATGATTCCCCAATTATCCAGGTAATTTCTGCTATCAACTTAGTGATGCATTGATGTTCATATATATGATCACTCCTGATTCTTTTTTTGTTCTTCCCCTGACTTGCAGGATAACATGAATTTGTTTGACTATAATGTCCCTGAGCGCGTCAATGAGTTTGTAGCTGCTGCCGTAGCTCAAGTAAGATAGTGAGATTAAATTGGCGTTCTATGCTTTGTTATACTTTATTATATCTCAAGAGAAACCAGTCAAAGTGTGCCAGTATTTTTTTGTTTGTTTTTTTTTATGTATATTTTTAAATTGATGGAAAATCTCATGTAAAAGTAGGTTTCTACTATTATTGATGTCAAATTATGCTTTGTTATACTTTATTATATCTCAAGAGAAACCAGTCAAAGTGTGCCCAGCATTTTTTGTTTGTTTTGTTTTATGTATATTTTTAAATTGATGGAAAATCTCATGTAAAAGTAGGTTTCTACTATTATTGATGTCAAATTAGTATCATACCCACTAGTTCTTTACTTATAATTAAAGCTTTATTTAAATTATGATCTTTGGTAACGACAGTGCACCGTTGAGTTGGTGTGACATTGAAAGTTTCTAATTTATATAAAAATGAAGTTAAAATATGAATGACTTAGAATTTTGCTGATAATATTACTCCTCTTTTCTGCAGGCTAACATAACTCGGACAAATCATGTTATGTGGACTATGGGAACAGATTTCAAGTATCAATATGCACACACATGGTTCCGGGCGATGGACAAGTTTATTCATTATGTCAATCAAGTTAGTTTCACCTCACCCCAAATTATTTTTGCATTACCAAATTTGTAGCTGAATGAAATTATTCTGCTCTCACATTTCATTTTCAAAATAATTTCAACCTGCCTTAGGTTGATCAGTTCTGTTTCTACATTATCCAACTCCTTCCAAGTCCTTTCTGGATGATATATATTTTCTTGTGTGTTGTGTTTGCTAAATTCATTTTCTAGTTATCTTAAGGCATTTCCTGATTTCTACAGATGATCTTATGTTAGTTACCCTGAAACTTAACCTTCAAGTTCTTAGTTTTCTTTGTTAATGGAGCGACTGGTTTGCATGACATAGGATGGTCGTGTTAATGCCCTATACTCGACTCCATCGATATACACTGATGCAAAGCATGCGGCAAATGAGGCCTGGCCACTGAAGACAGATGACTACTTCCCGTGAGTATAGATTTCAATTTTAAATTACATATATGATATTTTATTATATCCATCCGTCTTTTGATGTTTAACCTGTGTTTGCAATCATACATTTATCAGATATGCAGACCGTGTAAATGCTTACTGGACGGGATATTTTACAAGTAGGCCTGGCTTGAAAGGCTATGTTAGAACAATGAGTGCCTACTATTTGGTGAGACATATTTTACTAACTACTCTATATTGTGATCATTTATTATAATTTTACATATATTAATTTTCCTTTGATTATAATGTATCAACAGGCAGCTAGACAATTGGAGTTCTTTAAAGGAAAGAATAAAGCTGGTGCCACCACTGACTCTTTGGCTGATGCTTTAGCACTTGCACAACATCATGACGCAATCAGTGGTACCTCGAAGCAGCACGTTGCTTCCGATTATGCAAAACGATTGTCAATTGGCTACAAGGAGGTTTGGACTTGATTTTTTTTCTGAAATTATTCTAATAGTTCTTTTCAATTTGCTAAAGTCTAATGCTTCTCATTTGATAATTTTTTTTCCTGGCAGGCTGAGGAAGTTGTTTCAGCATCATTTGCTTGCATTGCAGAGTCATGCCTAAAAACTGGTCGTCCAAATCCAGTGGTGACGAAGTTTCAACAGGCACTATACTATACTTCACACTTGCTGCATTTTTACTATGTATTTAAACTTGCATTCTAGGATGCTAATGAGTTCTTCTTAAATTTGATATAATGGGATATTGTACCAACTCAAGATTATGGAGATAACTTTTATGCTTCAGATGTGCTCTTCAAAACCACCACAACATAAATTTGCTCCTTCACTCATTATTTTGGCCAAAATTTTAAATTTTACAAATGCTGATTTCCATTTTTATTTGGCCTTGCAGTGTCCACTTCTGAATATAAGCTATTGTCCTCCATCAGAAGTTGATCTGTCTACCAGAAAGAACCTGGTAAGGAGAATACCTGGTTGACCTTTCATTTTTTATAAATTTTTTCAGCATGCGTTTTGGTCTTTTGAAAAGCAATCATTTTATTCCACTTAATTATAGATGTATTCTTTGATGTTCTCTTCTGTAGGTGGTGGTGGTGTACAATCCCCTTGGGTGGAAAAGGGAGGATGTTATTAGAATTCCTGTGAGTGTTTTTTTAAAAGTTTTAACTTCATATTTTGATTTTAGCTTTAATCATTGTTCCCTGCTCCTTGCTTTATTTTCTAAGTGCACAGCGAACGTAGAATATTTTTCTTTTCTTTATTTTTATTTTTTTATGAATATTCATATCATCTAAACTTTCTAACTTGCTGCAGGTTTATAACGAGAAAGTCACTGTGAAGGATTCCGAAGGAAAAGAAGTTGAATCACAACTTCTGCCCATTCAAGATGCGTATAAGACCTTAAGAAACTACTATTCTGTGGCTTATTTGGGGAAATCCAAAAAGGAGGCCCCAAATTATTGGCTTGCATTCTCAGCATCTGCACCACCTCTTGGTTACAACACTTATATCATCTCAAGTGCCAAACAATCAGGTTACAAAAGTGATTGCCATTTTGTAAAAATACACATCTGACATAGATGAATATGTTAAGTTGATTGTTCTATTGTGTCTCACTTTATGGTTGCAGCGGTTTCGTCGGAGATTAAATCATTTTACAATTCTGAAACTGCTAAAAATGATAAAATAGAAGTGGGGCCAGGAAACGTGAAACTTGTATATTCTGGAAATGAAGGAAACCTTATTCAGTATATCAATAGCAGAAGTAAAGTAAGTTATTTGGTTGGCAATTAATTATCCTTTTGATTAAATAAAATGTATCCTGATATGTTTTCTAGCCTTCATTTCAAATTTAAAGCTTTAAGGGAATTCTAATTTGAATTAATTCACACTTGAAGGTTGAGCAATCGGTTGAGCAGTCATATAGCTATTATTACAGTGATAATGGAAGTGCTGATTTGCAGGTAATGAATTACTTGTAGTTTTTTCCTTCTATATTCTTGGTTTGTGATTATATTTTGAAACAAATGTGTTGATATAAAATTTTGAAGGCCTCTGGAGCATACATCTTTCGTCCAAACGGTTCACATCCCATCGATCCTCAACAGCAGGTACAGATTTCTGAAACACATGGACCATTCTACGTACACCGACTTTGATAAATTAAGGAGCTATTTGAAGTTTCAGGTTCTTCTTAACGTTCTACGGGGCCCACTGGTGGATGAGGTACATCAGAGGATCAATTCATGGATATATCAGGTAATATATCTTTTCACGCAGGCATTGATTTCGTTGTTTATTTTTCAAAGAAAACTTTTGTCTTTTTCAATATTTAAAAATATTTCACAAAACATGTTAAGAGCGAAAGATATGAGCATGATCATAGTTTATTGGAAAAATTGGCATATTGTATTCTTTTTTCTTCAATTTACGCTTAATTTTATTGCATTATTCTTTGAGCTTTGCAGAGTATGTTCTTTAGGTGGTATCAGTAATTAAACATTGCATGAATGAACAGGTTACAAGACTTTACAAGGGAAAAGATCATGCTGAATTTGAGTTTACTGTAAGTCTATTGTAAATAGTTATCTTTCATGAAGTGTTTACAGTTTCATGTTGGAACTTGTATCAACATAAAATATTATCAATTTTAGATTGGACCGATACCTATGGATGATGGAATTGGCAAAGAGGTTGTGACACAAATTAAAGCAACCATACAAAACAAGAAGAAATTCTACACAGATTCCAGTGGGCGTGATTTTATTGAAAGGGTATGTAAATGTTTCCATCTTAGTTTGATTTATTAACATTTGGTTGAAGGAAAAATGAGTAGCACTAATTTTTTATTCTACCTAACTTTGGAGACAAAATATATTTGCAGATTCGAGACTATAGAAAAGATTGGAAGTTAGAAGTGAACCAACCTATTGCTGGAAATTATTACCCGGTGAGTTTATATTATAATTGGGACTGGATTTTGTTGTCGCATGATAATTGATAATGCTTGTGGACTTGTGGCTCAGTATCCCTTCCATTAATATGAAGTTTATTAAAACTTTGGTCTCTAGATAGACTTGGTTCTTGTGACTGACGTCGATTAATCTTTTATTTGATTCTCCTTTCAGATTAATCTCGGAATTTACATGAAAGATAATGATACAGAACTATCAGTCTTAGTAGATCGATCAGTGGGGGGTTCCAGTATTAAAGATGGGGAATTGGAACTGATGCTCCACAGGTTCAGTCATCCATATCCATACAAGTTATATATTTGTATTGTTCATCGCTAGAAACATGTTTATATGGGATTTCCTCCTCTTTGCAGGAGATTGCATGAAGACGATAGTAGAGGTGTTGCTGAGGCACTAAACGAAACAGTTTGTGTTTTTGATGAATGCACAGGACTAACTGTAAGTGTACTCTGACTGATTTATGGTGTTTAGAATCAATGATAATTTGATACTGTACTGTTCACATCTATTTTGCCTAATTAACATACAATCTTACAGGTCTTGGGAAAGTATTACCTCAGAATAGATCCTTCGGGCGAGGGTGCTAAGTGGCGTCGATCATATGGCCAGGAGATATATTCTCCTTTTCTTTTAGCCTTCACCGAGCAGGTAAAAGCACGAAAATGAAGTGTTCTTTTTGCCATTGCGATCCATTTGTAACTCATATGTTGGCTATCTTTTTCCAGGATGGAGATAATTGGGCAAGTTCTCATGTAGCTAGCTTCTCGGGAATGGATCCCTCCTACGTTTTACCTGATAATGTTGCAATGCTAACCCTCCAGGTAATATTTCACAGGGATGCCCTATTACAATTAGAATATTGAAGAAAATCCTTGAAAAAAATGTTTTTGTATGTGTGTTTATTCATTCCAAGAGCTGAATGTTTCACCCTTTTGAAATTCTGCAGGAACTTGACGATGGAAAAGTTCTCCTTCGATTGGCACACTTATATGAGGTTTTTATTCTTTCATCTTTTATAAGAATCTATAGTATCATTGGAAATATTCCATGGCTTTAGATGATTCAAGAACTTCATTTCTTGTCTTTATTTGAAATTACAGATTGGGGAGGACAAGGATCTATCAGTTATGTCAAGTGTGGAACTGAAAAAGGTGTTCCCGAACAAGAAGGTAAGAGACAAATCAGTGGATGACAATCCATTAAGTATTAAGCATTTAATTAATTATTTTCATAATGCATTCAGATAAACAAAGTAACGGAGACGAACTTATCTGCGAACCAAGAAAGAGCTGAAATGGAGAAGAAGAGGCTAGTCTGGAAAGTAGAAGGCTCTTCTGGAGAAGAAGCTAAGGTAGTTAGGGGAGGAGCTGTGGATCCAACGGCACTGGTAGTTGAACTTGCTCCAATGGAAATCCGAACTTTTGTTATCGACTTCAATTAAAATGCATTCTCATGCGTTGGTCAAGGGAATAAAGTCTTCAATTAGCCATTGTAAACATACAATCATTAAATAAGGTCTTCAATTAGCCATTGTAAATATACAATCATTAAATAAGGTTTTCTGACTATTTTTCTGATATTACCCATAAGGCGTACAAAACTGGATAAATGCTTTGTTAACAGAGAGAAAATAATAAAGCTCAAATGTTTGTCTAGTTCTCATATGCTTAGCCAACCCCTTTTATACTTTTGAGATAAATGTAATGGGTATTTTTGTAAGTTGTCTTGACACTTAGGGACCACTTCTTAATCCTTATCTTAAAATAAGATAAGATTGATATAAAATATCTCTTGGAGCGGTTTGAGTTTTTGACAATTAATACTATCTTACCTTTGTTGAACTCTGATTGGTAGTGTTGACAATGGTGTTTAATTTTGACACAACAAATAAAATGTTATTAAGTTGTTTTCTCACTCATCTCTAAATCAAATCACCAACTTCATTTCATCACCAACAAACTTACAAAGAAAACAATTCCGGGCCAGGTGAAACTCAAAAATCGCAAAGAATTTCAAATCATATCTTCAATTTTTATTTCTAAATATGATGATATAAACACCCTTACCGTCTATACCACCCCTGTATTTTTTAAAACTATCAATCAGATGCCAATTTTAGGGGCAAAACACCCCTTGTATTTTGGAACTTATCCAAAATCCTCCCTTAACACTAACACCGTTAAATCCAATTAAAATAAGGAGGTAAAATGAGATTTTTCTCATATTTAAAGGGTAAAGTTCTTCCACTAATTATTATGCCCTAATTTTTTTTTCATCTTATCTTCTTCTTTCTTTGCAGAGAAATAGAGAAATTTTAATTTCTTAATTAATGACAACTATACCCTTACAAGTGTGTAGTGTGTACATATTGTTAAATAAATATTTTTGTCTTTTTAAATTGATTTATTCTTTTATTCACTTNATCTTTTTCCAGGATGGAGATAATTGGGCAAGTTCTCATGTAGCTAGCTTCTCGGGGATGGTTCCCTCCTATGTTTTACCTGATAATGTTGCAATGCTAACCCTCCAGGTAATATTTCACAGGGATGCGCTATTACAATTAGAATATTGAAGAAAATCCTTGAAAAAAATGTTTTTGTATGTGTGTTTATTAATTCCAAGAGCTGAATGTTTCACCCTTTTGAAATTCTGCAGGAACTTGACGATGGAAAAGTTCTCCTTCGATTGGCACACTTATATGAGGTTTTTATTCTTTCATCTTTTATAAGAATCTATAGTATCATTGGAAATATTCCATGGCTTTAGATGATTCAAGAACTTCATTTCTTGTCTTTATTTGAAATTACAGATTGGGGAGGACAAGGATCTATCAGTTATGTCTAGTGTGGAACTGAAAAAGGTGTTCCCGAACAAAAAGGTAAGAGACAAATCAGTGGATGACAATCCATTAAGCATTAAGCACTTAATTAATTATTTTCATAATGCATTCAGATAAACAAAGTAACGGAGACGAACTTATCTGCGAACCAAGAAAGAGTTGACATGGAGAAGAAGAGGCTAGTCTGGAAAGTAGAAGGCTCTTCTGGAGAAGAAGCTAAGGTAGTTAGGGGAGGAGCTGTGGATCCAACGGCATTGGTAGTTGAGCTTACTCCAATGGAAATCCGAACTTTTGTTATCGACTTCAATTAAAATGCATTCTCATGCGTTGCTCAAGGGAATAAAGTCTTCAATTAGCCATTGTAAATGTACAATCATTAAATAAAGTCTTCAATTAGCCATTGTAAATATACAATCATTTATGTTTAAGATGGTGATGCTTGATTTTGACGCGCATGTGTAAAGTGCTAAGTTGTTCTTATAAATTACACATAAATAATTATGAGAATTAATTATGATGTAGAGATTATATATGTTTGCAAAAACATAAATAATAGATTGACAAAAGAGATTTTTATAGTGGTTTGGATGTTTAAAGAGAATCCTACATCTATTGTTATTTTATTATTCTCTGATTATTTTTTTAATATTGCCCGTAAAGTATACAAAAATGGAGAAATACTTTGTTTACAGAGAGAAAATAATAAAGCCCAAATATTTGTTTAGCTCTCATATGCCTAACTGATTCCTTTTTCACGAAGATAAGTGCTCATTTATACCTTTGAGGTTAATGTAATGAATGCTTTTGCACGTTGTCTTGACACTTGATAACAACTCCTTAATCTTTATCTTAAAATGAGATAGGATTGATATAAAATATCTTTTAGAGACGGTTTAGGTTTTTGACTGTTAATACTATCATATCTTGAAGTGCTTATTGAACTTTGATTGGTAGTGTTAACACTAGTGTGTATTTTTGACACAATAAATAAAATGTTATTAAGTTGTTTTCTCGCTCATTTCTAAATCAAATCACCAACTTCATTTCATCACCAACAAACTTACAAAGAAAACAATTCCAGGCCAGGTGAAGCTCAAAAATCGCAAGAATTTCAAATCTTATCTTCAATTTTTATTTCTAAATGTGATGAATATCATATTTATAAACACACTTACCATGTCCGACCACCCCTGTATTTTTTAAAACTATCAATCAGATGCCAATTTTAGGGGCAAAACACCCCTTGTATTTTGGAACTTATCCAAAATCCTCCCTTAACACTAACACCGTTAAATCCAATTAAAATAAGGAGGTAAAATGAGATTTTTCTCATATTTAAAGGGTAAAGTTCTTCCACTAATTATTATGCCCTAATTTTTTTTTCATCTTATCTTCTTCTTTCTTTGCAGAGAAAAAGAGAAATTTTAATTTCTTAATTAATGACAACTATACCCTTACAAGTGTGTAGTGTGTACATATTGTTAAATAAATATTTTTGTCTTTTTAAATTGATTTATTCTTTTATTCACTTCATTTTAATTAAAATGTAAAAATGAAGGGTAAAGTAGATATTTGAACTTTTTAACGGTAAATAATAGGTTCTGTTAGTAGAGGTGGATTTTGATTTTTTTTTTTTTAATTGAAGGATGTTTTCTGACTAATAGTTTTAGTAAACCCAAGGTGATAATTGATATTAACCCACATTTCTGTGCCAACTTGGAGAATGCACATCAAGGCTTGGGTTTGAATTTTGAAAGCGACTTACCGTACGAGTTCGGTTTAATTAAACCGGGCGGTTTAATGCGTTTCAAGAATTTGCCCTAACATCCAAAACGTCATCATTCTATCGCCGTTTCTTCCCTCCCTCTTCTCTTTAGTCAGATTTCTTCTCTCTCAAGATTCCATTCAATTTTGATACGACATTTGGATCCAAAACCCCTTTTTTTTATCAAACGAAATTCATTTCTTCCGTTGAAGGTGCGATTGATTGATAAATAAAAACAATAAGTTAACTAATTGATAATGGCGAAGGCAAACGAAGCCTCGGCTATGGAAATTGACGATCCAAAATCAAACAATTCCGATCAGATCAGCCCCAAATTCTCCATCAACGGTCTGCATTTCGCCATAAAAGCGCTTTAAATTTAGTGTTTAAAAAATTATGTAATTTAGTTTTACTTTTTGGTGTTTACAGTACTGCAACTCCTCAAGTCTGCTCAGATGCAGCATGGTTTGCGGCACGGTGATTACACTCGCTATCGGTATGCATGATAATTCTTCTTTTTAATTTGGCTTATTTAGATTTTCTTTTGAAATCTTTTTTATATTTTCAAGTAAATTCAAGTTCGTTCTATATTGCGATCTTGAGAATTATTGAATCAAATGTAATTTCAGGAGGTATTGCACTGCACGGTTGAGGAGGTTATATAAATCGTTGAAATTTACTCATGGACGTGGTAAATATTCGAGAAAAGCTATTACTGAATCCACTGTCACTGAAGTGAGGTACATATATCTGTACTTTTTGATGATTAGAATTGCAATATTTTCATATTTGTTTCTGTTTTGACTGTACATGATTGTGAATTTGAAAAAGGAAAAAAAAGAAAAAAAAAAAAAAAGTATTGGAGCATGCTATGATTATATTTTGCTTAGTTAAGGCAATGCCCCAGACCAGGTTAACTTATTATTCATATATCTATCTCGGAATTCTATTTGCTTTGCTGGGTCCATTCTGTCTTGCCAATTGCTTTCAATAGTATATGCTTATATCAAGATTACAAAGAGCATTTGTATCCATTTGGTCGCCTAGATGTGTAAAATTAGTAACTGAATATGTTGGGTTGTAAAAGAGGGTGGCATTTGGTTGTTTTCCTTATAGCTGGTACTTGACATATGAATTTTGGAGAGTTGAAATTGACTCATAATGAATGGGACTTGTTTGAAACTTAATGGTAAATTTTTTTCTCGGTTACTGGAAACATGCAAACCTGAATAGGGGAGGCTGGTGATTGCTTGCTTTATTATTTCTGATATTTTTTTAAGAACTATGTTCAGCATCAGTTTCTGTATGCGCTTTTCAGATTTCATATTGTTTTATAGTTTGTGAAACACATCTTTTGCAGTTTGAAAGAGACAACAGGTCATCTTAATTGTAGTCTGTCCATGTTTAACAGTCAATGCTATTTGGTTTAAAATAGGTATCTTCATATGGTCCTTTATACGGCAGAGAGAGCTTGGAGTCATGCCATGGAGAAAAGACAGCTTCCAGATGGCCCCAATGCACACCAGCGCATTTATTTGATTGGTAGGCTGAGGAAGGCAGTGAAATGGGCCACCCTTTTCTCTAATTTGTGTGCTATCAAAGGAGACTCAAGAACTTCTTTAGAAGCTGAGGTGTGTCTGGACACGTTTGTTTTTGCAATATTGCAGATGCCATTGCCACTGCTTTTGGTGCCCGGTCTAATTTTATCAAAAACTAAGAAAAATAAAAACAGTTGTAGCTTGTAGCTAATAATATTTCTTTTCTACAAATAATGTAATCACCTGGATTGTTAACCTGGTTATTGCTGTCTGCTGAGTTGTTTGGGAATTCACTGTTATATCATTTTATATATAAGCTGTAGTGTGTGTATGAAGTATGAACTACTGGACCCTACAATATATATTCTAGTTAAAAGTCATAGCAAGAGTTCATATTTGGTATTCCTGGTGGTGGATGCTCTAGTACTCTTGAAAGGTTGTTACTTGGTGAGACTGATATAAAAACAGGTTAGAAGAATGACATGTGGCAATTTCTTGCTGTACTTCACAGCTGTTTGATTTTAGATGGCCGTCCTATTTTTGGGAAAGGATGACAAATGTACATATAGGACTTAAAATCTGCCAATTCTAGTATACTTAATTTCCCTTTGAGAAAGATATTAAAGGAAAAGTAGCATTGAGGTTAATAGTTCATGATGTTTGTGCGTAGTGGATGGGTGTCTGAGATTAGCCATAAGGGTTTGTCTCTAATGTCCTATTCTGAGAATTCCTTTTTGAGGGATTTGATTCTAAAGATTTACTGACTGATTATTTGGTCTTAGTTATGCTTCATTTTATCCAAGATTAAGGCATACTTTTTAAGTCATGAAATTTTTGCCTCACTTTCTGACATGGTTGTAGACGCACATGGTTTGTCTCATTGTTGTGAATACTTGCTATTCCTGTTTTATTTCTCACCATTATGCATTTTAATCATTATGATTATCTATGACTACCGTTTATGAATTCTGAATGCTTAAATACTTCTACATTAGAGTAAATTGTCTTTTGAGGATTGTTCCTACTGATTGGGTGAAGTTTCTAGACTTCTTTTATACACCGTTCACCAAGGTTTTCTTTTTCTTTTTCAATCTGCAGGCCTATGCTTCATACATGAAAGGGAATTTGTTGTTTGAGCAAGATCAGAATTGGGATACTGCATTGAAGAATTTCAAAAATGCTAGGTTCATCCTTCTGTTCTGCAATATAATATATAAACATCATATGTACATTTAAAAAGGAAGAAATATCCCGTCTCTTTATTATCTATGAATTCCTATGTTAAAAGCAAGAACTGATTAGAAGTCCTTGATTTTGGATTATATACGTATATGTTGACTTGCATGGGAATTCCTTAAATTCGTTTGATCGTTTTCTGTTTGTTTTGCCATACTAATTGCTGTTCTTCCTTAATAGTTTTGAAACTTAATTTGTTTTTCATTCATTTTGTTGATGGGATTGTCACTGGCTGTCATTGTTAATAATTCAGGGCTGTGTATGAGGAACTTGGGAAATATGGAGACTTGGAAAATCAAGTTTTGTGCCGTGAGCGAGTTGAGGAGCTAGAACCTAGCATCCGCTACTGCCTACACAAAATTGGTGCATCAAATGTTCAGACCTCTGAACTTCTACAAATTGGTGAGATGGAAGGTCCTGCTTTAGACCTCTTTAAAGCAAAATTGGAGGTAAGTTTGATTATTGTAAGTGGTAAGCCGTGTGCTGGGATCAGTACTGATGTCCTTGTTGCAGGCTGTCATGGCAGAGGCAAGATCTCAACAGGCTGCATCATTGACTGAGTTTCACTGGCTTGGACATAGATTTCCAATATCCAATGCTAAAACCCGGGTGGCCATTTTAAAAGGTAGGTTATTGATCTCTTTTAGTTATGATTCAACGAAACAAGTGCAAATATTTTGTTGGTAGGGGTGCAAGCATCTATCTACTCTTTTCTGTTTCTTCAAAAAAAACAAAAAAAAAAAAAAGCATCTCCCTGGTCTTGGTTATCTACTACTCTGTGAATTTGCTTTTCTCAAATGTAGTATAATTGATATTAGGACTGGTGACTTTATTCAACTTGCAATTGGTAAGGTCTGGTAATAAACATCTAGTTAACATGTTTGTTACTTAGAGTTAAGCAATTGCAATTTCCTATAGTAGCTTTTACTCTGAGATTTATGTCTGTTATCAGCAAAATGACTTAAAGCAGATGGTGAAAATTGGAAAATTGTGGGTTTTTTTTTTTTGTCTCAATAGTAGCATACAATGATTGTTGGTATGAAGCACATTGCTAAATGTATTACTTTACAGCAATATCATGCTGATAGCTGAACTTTCTCCCTGGTGGAAATTTCTGTATTTCCCCATGATTTTGATAACAAGGTCAAACAAAATCTCAAAATCTGTTTTTGTCATTAACAAGGTCAAACAAAATCTCAAAATCTGTTTTTGTCATGACGACTTTTTCAGCTCAGGAATTGGAGAAGGATTTACATGGTCCAGCAGCAGATTCTCTACCTTCTGAGAAAAAACTAGTAATCTTTGACAAAATTTTTACGGCATACCATGAAGCCAGGAGCTGCATTCGTAGTGACTTGGTATGGGTCGTTGTGATGATAGCAATTAGATTTTGTAGTCTACTTCTTGTTTTGGTTCAATTTATTTTTATTCCTTTCTGACTGATATTCTTTACTTATGATACATTCTAGGTCAGTGCAGGTAATGCTGAAAATGTGAAAGACGACTTAAATGGACTTGATAAAGCTGTTAGTGCTGTATTAGGGCAACGAACCATTGAGCGGAATCAGTTGCTGGTTAGCATTGCAAAGAGTAAACTCACTAGGCGCCGAGATGACAAAAATGAGAAAATTACTAAGCCTGAAGAACTTGTTCGCTTATATGATCTCTTATTACAGGTTAACAATCAATCTATATGTGTGTTTCTGTCATGCCTTGATGTATGAAAAGATGTTTTTTTTTGCTGAATCTATTAGGTGCCCCTACCTCTGAGCTGATAGTAATTTTTGTGTTTATTGATTTTATATATGACAGAACACAGCTGACCTAGCTGATTTGGTTAGTTCTGGACGAGATAGAAAGCCTGAAGAAGTAGCATTTGCTGAAGAATGTGAGCTTAAAAGTCTGGCTTTTCAAGCGGAGAGGTTTGTGTTTGTCTGTGTATTAGGCAAATAGGATCTGGTTAATCTTCATCTTAAGATTTCTGGCCTTTCTAAATGGCAAATTAGTTAGGTTCTTTATTTATAGTTGCTTTGGGTGTCAAGGAATATTCTTCTGCTCCTGTCTGTTCATAGGACTCCATTTTGGCAGGTGCTTTTACTTGGCGAAATCGTACAGTTTGGCTGGAAAGAGATCAGAAGCTTATGCATTGTACACTCGCACTCGCCATCTGGTTGAAAATGCCCTGCAGAAATTTAAATCTTGGAACAGTGATCAGGTCTATATATAATTTTTTTAACAAAACTTTTAGTGTTTTCTCTCTTTTTTCTCTTTCCTGTGTTAAATTAGCTGCAGTCCCCTGATGATCGTTATCTAAGTATATTTGCATCTGTCTATATTGGTATATATACCTTACATCCTTGGTATAGACAACTGTCTCTAGATCATACTGGAAAAACATTCTTACTGCACAATTTTTTTGTAATTACTTGTTTTAGCAAATAACAGTTCCTTCTCTTTTTTGAAGAATTCTTGCACAACATAACTGCATGCTGATGCTTGTTGATTTTGGGTTCAAATTTTGATTATTTCAGCAACAGGTGATTGTTAACGAATTGACAGCTTTACACAAAGAAAGCAGATCTAACATTTGCATAGAGCATGCAAATGGGATTATGGAGCTGGAGAAGGCTCCTGAGAAGTTGTCCAAAAACATTTCTACCATGTCACTAGATGGAGCAGGAAAAAAGGTACTGTATAAACCAACACCACCACCAACCCACCCACCCCCCCCTCCCAAAAAAAAAAGTCCTGTGTCCAAAAACCAATTGAAAATGTTAGAAAAAAAATTCCATATCACATATGTTTTGGGGCCCACTCTATACCAAAAATGGGCTGAAGATTATGGTTGTTTTTAATCAGAATATATTCTATATGATGGTTTTGTACTGGTGGGTTTTAAACTGAACATGTTTGTTTGGAGAACCTCAAGCCTAGACTGCCTAGTGGCCTTTTTTGTTTTAGAGGAAAATAACTGTGAGATAATGTTGTCCGTATATTAGTTTATTTTTTATCTTAATTTGGTAGGAGACTTACCAATAAGGATATATGAATTTGTCATATTTTAGTGCATAATTTTGCATTTGCCTGTTTTCATTTGGTTTGGCATGCTGATTCGATTTCTCTTCAGGTGGAAAAATATCTTCTGGAGAAACTAGATGTATACGAGTCTGCTGTTGGTGATTCAAATAAAGGTGTTCCACGCATTGAAGCCTTCCCTCCAGCATTCCAATCAATACCTCGGAATCCTATTGTTTTAGACCTTGCCTACAACTGTATTGAATTCCCATCGCTTGAAAACAGGATGAAGAAAGACAGGAAGGGCTTCATTAGTAGGTTATGGCGATGAGTTTCCTTTATGAGGTTTCGATTTATTGCCCCACGAGGGAAAAAGAATTACAGATGAAAGATCAGAAATCAGGTTGCCTTAAATTTTCTGATATCAAAAGCTGAGAAATTTTGCAGCTGTATTTAGTTACCTTCCGCGGCCCCCGCCCCGCCACCCCACTTCTTTTCTTTTCGTTCTTTTTTTTTTTTTTTTTGGTGGATAATTGCTTAGAATTCTGGATTGTGGTGGATGTTTAAATTTTGGGCTCACTGGAATTTGGAAAATGGAAATCAACAAATTTAAGTGGGAACCAAAGTTTCTTTTATTTTTGAAACACTTTGTTGATGTGAGATGGAAGGAAAATAAAATGAAAAAATTTATTTTTAAAAACTACCTTGAGTTGAACTCCAGGTATGCATTCATCCTTTGGAAATGTGATTTGTTTGGCATTTTCTGTAGTGGCAAAATCATTTTGATCCAGTTGTACTTCGAAAATTTGTTATCAGGAAAAAGTTTCAGGGATTCGGTACTTAAGACTGGAACCTCATTAAGCTATACTTCTAGTATTGACACGAGTGGATGATGGGTGTCTTTTTTTATGTTTCTTTCTTCCCTTATATTACAAAGATTAGCTCTCAGAATTCCACTCATCCAAGTCAGATGGCAAATTGGTTTTTGAACAACTTGTAGATATGCTAAAATCTCCTAAAACTAGTTATTCCCAATCTCGGTCAATGAAGTTTTAATTTGCCCAGTTGGGAGTTGAAAAAAAGGACCTTTTAAACGGTTTGAGCTTTAAAGGCTAGGAAAACACTAATGAAATACTTGATCTAAAGTTTTCAACTATAGCAGCCAGGTGAGGCTAATATGCTTCTACTTTTTCATATGCACAGCATAAAAATAATATATACCTTTAACTACGTTGATCGTAATGATATTTACAGGCATGCATACAATTCAAATGCAAATATCATAAGCTCCTCTGTATTCTTTATCCCCACGATCCTGGTTTGAACACGCTGTGTATTAAACCTCAAATGATATTGTTTACATTCTTCTATTGATTGCTCATGATGATACACTAAATTTCATGTCAGTACTATGAAGGGGAAAAAAACCTGGTCTAGTATCCAGAAATCTACAAAGTGGTTAAGATAAGTGTAGAGAGAATAAGATTCAACCTTTGTTCCGCAGAAGTGTGAGGTGCAAGCCAATGCAGCAAAGATGTTTACGACTTACAAGGTAATGCATTAGGGTCCAAATGCCAAGAGTCCTCTGAGATACCATATGTGCTAATTCCAGGCACTTTAAAAGCAGGTATTCGATGTGAATAACTCAACATCTCCGCTTGTAAAACCGTGCGAACAATCTCAAACCCATTATCTTGCTGTCTCTGGAAGTATGTTACATGATTCTCCACCTTCACCAGCTTGGCTATTGTCATCCCATTCTCACTGGAGAACTCTGAAAGAATTTCAACAACAAAATATTCACAATTTCGGTAATGATTTTGGTTCCACTCATCATTCCAATTCTTGTACATTGCCCAAACCTCACCTTCCTTTGGGTAAATAATAAAGTATGGCTCCAGTAGAGATCTTTGGTGCTCAAAAGGAATGGAAACATATGACAATTCCAGGATGGTACTGGTTTTGCAAAGTTCAAAAATACCACACGCAATGGGTAGGTTTTTCTTCTTCCATTCGATATCATGACCAAGAACTGGATGAGGCTCTAAGAATGTGACAGACACTTGCTTCTCAGAAATTACATCATTTATTTGGATGTATTGTCGTGGCATGGAATCCTTTCCACAATATACAGCCCATACTTGGCCTACAGAAAAATCATTTGGTGTCCACTTAAGCTTCAAAAATTTGCTCTCTGGATACAACCCCTGAGAAGGTAATTGCTTCGGAGGAGTGAAGTGAGATGAAACATTTATGTTCTTCTTCTTTAGGGTTATTTGAGCGTCAATGCCATCAACCATAGCATCAGGCAAAGCCAACTGGTCAAGTTCAAAGATTACCTTAACTTTCTCACCATCTCCACCCATAAGCCTAAATGCTGGAATATTGTGAGAGAAGCTGTACAAATAATTGGAAGGGATCTGCCAAACGATAGGACTTCGTTCTATTGTTTCTCTCTCGAAGACACTCCTGAAACCATCTCGCTTCATCAAACACACAAATTCTGCACCTGAAAATTTTGAAAAATCAGACAGCATTTCAACCAAATGAAATTTGCATTCTTTGAGACTTCTAGGATTGTAAGCACATTCATCAGGGTTCCAATTCTCATATACAGCCCAAATTTCTCCTTTTTTGGGGTAAATCTCAAACTGATTCTCTTTCAGTGAATGAATTGGGGAGCATTGATGGGAAAAAACCATTGGCCTTGCCACATCATTTCTCTCCCGACTTAGATCAAAGGACCCACAACCAACAGGTAAGCCGGAAAAAGACCATCTTTTGTAATTTGGACTAACAGGTTGTGGTTTCAGCCATGTAACAATGAGATCAAAATTGTTATTGCTGTTGATAAGAGCATAGCGATGAGGAACACTTACTTTACAATGAGCAGCCCAGATCTTCCCTGCTCTGAATAACTCCACTCTTCTGTCGTTTTCAAAGTTGTAAAATTCCTGGTTAGGCTTTGGCAAAGCCAGGGCTGCTTGATGAGTAATTATATCATCTTGCTCGCCTGTGTCATGATAAGGTAACTTATATGGCTCATAATTTCCACTCTTTTCAGAAGTCACTTCCATTGAGACTCCTTCAATGCTCCCGGTACCCAGAACTTGGCAAGAAGAAACACTGTGACACTTAAGCATATGCTGACCAGCCAAACAAGTATCCTGCTTGAAATAGTATTTTGAATGTTTTTCTCGGTCAGAGAGCTTGGAGAATGCACTCTGGAGAAATTGTAATGGGAATTCAGTCCCTGGAAACTCATTCTTAATGACTTGCAACGAGCTTAGGAGCTTCTGGTATTGAAAAACAATATCAGAGTGTGTGACACAGGGCATAAAGAGCTGATAAACACAGTAGTCATCAATCTCACAATCTGATAACTTAAAACCAGCTGCCAATATTAGTATGTCACAGACAATCAGCATTGAATCAATGTAATCTAGTGTTGGACAAAGCTGCTGAGCTCTGAGTAACTTGTCTCTGGCACTGACGTATTCCTCATTCAGCATCATTGTTTGGGCAACGCACTTTTCCCTCAGGGCCTTCAACTTATCATAATTTATTCTCCAATTCTTCTGCATCCTTACAATTCACTTATTCAATTTTCATAATCCCAAGTTTACCATGTCCAAAACAAGCTGTATATTTACCAAGCTTTTATAGTTTCATCTTCAAAATGACATTGGATCCACCATGCTGAGATATGACTGCGAAAAGGATAACAATCAAAATTCCAAAGAAAATTGAAGAATCAAACATTAATATCATACACTACGGAAAAGAGCAAGCATAAAAATAGACGGCTTTTCCGGCTATAAATGCATTCACAAGTGAAAATGGATCTCCACAGTAAAGAGCAGAAGCCAGATTTCTTGTTAATTTGTTATGTATTATTCAAAGATTAACCTTACAGGCTAATCTTGTTATCGGCCGAGTTTGAGATCTTGAGCTCGAGCTCAGCACAAAAAGGCCAGCTCGAGTTCGAGATCGAACTCGGCGAAAGCTCGACTTTGTGTTGGTCGATTTATATGAAAAGTACAGAATGATTAGAATTCACAATTCGTTTGGTTGCCGAGAAACTTAAGGAAAATAAAAGAAATCGAACGTTTGAGGTAAGTAGAATTATTATTTTCAATAAAACGAAAAACCCACCTCAGGTAAATAAAATTAAAACATATAAAAACAAAAACCAAGAACCAAATGCAAACGAAAAGGAAGAGCTGATTTATTATTATTTTTTCCACGTTTCCTCAGCAAACAAACAGAAAACAGACTTTAAATCCAATCAAAAAGTGAAGCAAATGGCTGCACAAGGCAATCTTGGAAAGATATTCTATATTCATTATCTGGGTTTAAGACCAAAATATATAAAAATTTGGAAACTTTTCGGTTACACATCCCGGCAAACCAAACAATTAGAAGGAAAATAGAAAGCATTCGCAGTTCACACAGAACAAACCTTGAAATAAGAAAATGTTGAGAAATAAATTCTTCGACTAAATAAAAACAAACCGTGAAATAAGAAAATGTTGAGAAATAAATTCTTCTACTAAATAAAGTGTAGTAACACTTAAGCGGAGACTTACTTCATTATTAACTTCAGGATTTTAGAAAAACATGGAGGCTTAATTGATTGTTAACTTCAGGATTTTAGGGTATTTTCAATCCAAAGCTATTTTTGGTATAAGTGAAAAATGTGTTCCAACTCAACACAAAAAATTATACCAAATTGGTATAAGTAAATAGTATAATACTATTTATCCACACCAATTTAGTGTGAAACTATTTATCTACTATAAACTATATTTTATTTTTTTATTTTTGTTATTTGTTTTTATGTTAATTTGATTATTATTTATATTAATATTTATAATAATTATATAATTCAAAAAATGATGAAAAATTAAAAACAAAACTTTATTCAATACAAATATTAAACTATAATAACTTAAAATAAAAATTAACACTAATTTAAAAACACTAAAATTAAAAGAAAATACAACATAAACTAAAATAACAATTTCGTATCCCGGATCCTCTAAGATCATCAAAATATTGAAAAGAACTAGAGCTATTTTGAGATTATTGACCTTGTTGTTGAGTTTTTTTTTTTTTTTTTTTTTTTTCCTAATTGAAAGAAAATGTCCGATTTCAAAATTTTCTTACTCAACATAGACAAATTAAGGATACAAAAGCTCACTATGCTCTTCGAAATGCATTAATTGATCATTTGTAGGAAGAATATACTAATTCGAAAAATTAAATTACTGTCAATATGAAATTTTACTTTTGTGTTGTTGTTGTCTTTTTTTATATTAAATGTAATGTTTATTTGATTAAATAAATGTTTAATTTTATTAAATTAGTATAATTTTCAAAGTAATTATTATTTAATAAAAATATCATTCCCAATATTTAATTAATATATATATAAATAATTAGTGAAATAAATTAATAAAAAAAAAAAAGAATATTCTAAAGAATGTTTTTTTTGGTGTAATATTTGATGCAATAGGTTGGAGATGCAATAGTGAAATATACAAAAAATCACAGCAATTTAGTGTGAAACTTGTACCAATTTGGTACTTGTGGTTAGAGATGGTCTTAGAAAGAAAAACATGGAAGTTTGATTGATGTTAACTTAAGGATTTTAGAAAGATAG